TATGTAACGTGTGGCGTAATCGTTGTTTTTGCGCGAAGGCGCACCCGACGCGTATTTACGTGTATAAGTGCGTGTGGGGGGGGACTTAAAACTTTTTGGGGAGTTTTTTTTAATATGAGACTTTTTTTTTACACTTAACGTGATTGCTATCATATAGGGGGCTAAAAATCCCCCAATGTGATAGCTAGAAAAAAATGACAGGTCCTATTTATGGAGACATCAGAGGACCCCAAGACCCATGATGTCACCTGGGGACCCCCAAAGAAGCTGATGAAGCAGAGAACTGCTTCCTCAGCTTATTCTACAGCTCTCAGCCAGAGAAATGACAGCTAAAGGCGGAAGTGATATAATATACATTGCTTCCGACTTTAGAAAGAGAAGAGGAGAGATCAGCGGTGGGGGAAATTCTGATATCTCTTCATTCTCTCAGAGCAGGCACGAGCAGCCGGTGTTCTCGGTCCCGTGCACCGCAGTGGGAACAGCGGTGCCCGGGATAACTAGCAAGGACAACGATGGGTGGTGTGCGGCGGGGGTGGCCGCCATGCGAGGTTATACAAGTGATCGGCAGGCTATAGAGCCGGCCGAACGCTTGTATAAAACAGCCGGTAACACTTGTTTACCTTTCTGGCGGGTCTCTGCGGGCACGCGCGCGAGCAGAAAACAAAAATCAGGTACATGTATGTCCACCCGCCAGGAAGGATCCGCCGTCCACCCGTATTTTTATGATGGGTGGATGGCAAGGAGTTAAAAGTATCATTTTGATCTTGAATGTTTCAGTACCCATATTAAAGTACAATTCTAGACAAACCCCTAAATACGAAGTTGAATTATAAATTGAAAAAAGGTTTACTGTTTTTCCTGCAATTCTGTTCAGCCAGTCCAATAATTCACATACCTTACCCACGCCGCACAACGGGTGACATTCCTATTTCCTGTATCATTTCCGCAGCAGTTTTAATTGCATAGTTTGGATGGTGAAAAAAAGCTAATCAACAATGTACACTAAGCACACAGGTAAAAGAGCACACTGTAAAGATGAAGAAATATTAGATTCATCTTCCTTGCTCAGCTGTTTGTCACGGCTCAATGAGTCACAAGACTATCTAAATAGAATAGAGAATTATAGGTCCTTTGGTGTTGACATACTGTAATTCACCAGACAACTGTTTGCAGGTGGAAGGGGGTAGCAATAAAGGACAGGTAAGGAAACTCTTCTCCCCTAGTGCCAGCAGTTTTCTCTCTACTTCTCAGTACTACCCTCTTAAAGAGACCCTGTCCCTGACATAAAAATTTAGAAAAACAGCACATGTAAAAAAAAGACTTTAAACTTATCCGGTCAGATAACCCTATTGTGACATCTTTGATCTGCTGCAAAACTACCCCGCACAGAGGATCTGCACATGTGACACATTTCCGAGTGCATCCTCCTCTGTGCTCTGCGATTCTTCCCGCCAGCCCCTAGTTCACTACAGGACACAATAGTGACCAGGGACTGTTGGGAGGAACCAAAGTGCATGGCATAAGATATATGCACCAGAAACACCCAGAAAGGTGTTAGATCTCCAGATGTTCTGGGTGGTCTAGCGCTGTAGCAGAACAAAATCGGCACCAAACCAGGTAGGTGTAAAGTCTCTTTTATAGCTGCTTCTTGTGATCTTTTTGTCAGCGACACAATGGCTTTAAAATAACATTTTAATCACATTTAAACTTAAACATTTTAATTACTAATTGCCACCAAGTTCAGCTGAGCCAATTGTTCAAACCCATAGAACACATTACAAGACATTTACCCTGAAGACCAACCACCCTCTAAAGTCTATGGGTGACCAGAGAGAGATTAGTTATATTTATATGGCGCAAAACAAAAAACGTACATTGTTTTATCTATAGCACTGGTCTGCCTTATTATTTTTGCATGTTATTAGGTTCAATCTTTTTCTTTTCTTACTGTTATTCTGAATAATATGTTATAATAATGATGATAATGATAATAACAATAATTATCATTATTATTGCACTATATTCCAATTGTGCTTAAACAAGCAATAGTAATTTGAAGGCCCTCAACTATGAAAGTGATGTAAAGAATGTTTATGGCCCACTGTAGGGTAAACTGTGTACTTCACACCTTCCCAGCTGCTTTGCCTTTTTTAATACTCTTTTGATCATTTTTATATCTTGTATTGCATTGTGTTTCCTTTTATGAACACTAAACGCAGAAATGTTTCACTTTTTCTGTCTGACCTAGCACACTGATTACAGAGTTGTCAGCAGCCGAGCTGTCGATAAACTACGATAAACCTGGGGATGCTTCTGTGCCGAGAAATATTAAAACTGGTAACTGTGCTGTGCAGGAGAAATGAGAGGAGGCCAAAGTAATATCAAAAATAAATAAATATGTAACATTTTGCATTGGATAACTTTAATGTAGTTATGCTCAATCACTTTTATTTATTTTTTCAGATCACCATCCTTTCCATAAAAATATCTGCGCATGAATATTTATTTGGCTGTAAGACAGAAAAAAGCGAGAGACGGGAAGTTTTACTTTATGTGGTGATAGCACAATATAGCATGGCGTAGTATAAGGCTAAAAGCAGTCAGTATACCTTAGAGCTTGTAAAAAGGTAATAAGAACATAAATGAGCTTACCACCAACACACACAGATGATGGATGCACATACAAAATTTCTGAGCATGACTTCTTTAATATCTGCACAAAAGAAGTGTTTTGTATTAGAATTGAACATGTCCATTACAGTGTGGTTTAAAGCTAAACAACAGGCAAGAATCTAAACACAGTTTAAATACATATTTGAAAAATAAATGACCTGCCAAATGATTTATAATTAAAACAGCCAGTTTTGTGAGCCCCTGTCTGACTGCCCTAGCCAGTTCACAGACCTTCCCCCAAAGCAGCAGCAGCAGCACAGCTTGGTCAAGAATACTGGTAGACACCCTCAACCTACTGACTGGACAATGAAGAGCAGAGGCATAAGAATAAGGTCATCCTTTTTTCTCATTATGCCTCTCCTCATATGACCAGGGTCCATGCCAGTACTCAGCCACTCAGCAGAGATTGATAGGCTTCTTGTTCTGCCCCACCTTGCCTCAGTCCGAGTGCTGCTAAAGGAAACTCTGCACTTGCATTTAGGATTAGCTTAAGATACGGAGTTCATTCAGAGTTCATTGGCAAGTCAATTTGAGCTTGTTAGGAATTATTTAAAGCTTCTCCAGATTATATTAAACAAACGTACAAAAGCTGCTAGTTTTTGTTTAGGGGAACTGTGTAAAGCACTTTTACTTGCCTGAACACGCAGGCTCCAAGACTGACACCTGCTCTGGCAGTCTGAGGCCAGTTGATGCCATAAGGTCTAATGCAGGTCCCATAGCCATACCAGATGCTGAAAGACAGTCCACATGCCAGAGCAGAGTAAAGAGAGGTGGGCATTGGCCGTGGGCGAAGTAGGATTGGGTAAGTAAAAGGCCTTTACACAACTCCCCTAGAAACTAATGAGCAGTTACAACTTGCAGGTATCACTGCAAGGATATATTTTATTTTTTACCTGGAGATAAAACATGTCAACGACTCGCTGCACCCCTTTGTTGACATACGGGAGCAGAGTTTATGACTCAGGTCCCAAACAGCATTTGGGAGCAGAAGTATCATAATGACATGTGTGCTCCTGAATGTGCAAAGGAGCGGAACAAGTCCCATAATGTCACAACTCGTTCCGCCCCTTTGTTGACATTCAGGAACAAACCTGTCATTTTGCGGTGATAGTTCGTTGAGATTGGTTATGTCGGCAGGTATTGGGTATTTTTCCTTTCAGCGAGGTGGCGGCCGTCGTCCATCGTGATTGACATGGATCTAGATTGCTGAATGACGTGATTGACATTTGGATTACATCGATTGACACTTTTTTAATAGAGCAAAAAACCTGTGTCAAAAACCTGTGCTGTGTTTTTTTTTCAAAGAAAGGACTTTACAATTCAGTGTGATGTGGTGTGTTTATTTACTATTGTACTGTTTATTCGGTGAATGAGTAGGGATAATAGCTACCTATTACTCATTTAAGAATTTGGGTGCTCCTTTAATGAAAGGGGACACCCAGATTCCTAGTAGCCCCCCTGCTTACAGACCCCCATGATCACAGTCCTGGCAGGAATACCAGACCTCGCAAAAAAACATGAACAGAGAGATTTGTGTCCTTCACATGAGTAAGATTTATTCAACATATGTTGGGCAGTATGATAGCCAGCATACTACACATCACAATAGGTTACATTAATTTTTAAGCAAAGGCATATTAGCATAATTAATGAGAAACATCCCAGTGACATCCCACACTGGGCAGGCACGTAAATACAAATCATCCAATAAGATTAAATTATTTATCACAACACTGAAACAGTTAATTGTCTGTAACCGCAAAGCCACTCCCAAATGTATTTTATTTTCAATCAAAAATCTCATCAAATCGAAAACCTTCATTTTGGGGAAATAACCCTATTCTAGTGGTTTTATGTGGTGAGCTGACCTTACTCTGGTGTCCTACACTATACCATATTTGGGAGCATTTATCGCCTTATCAGCTGCCAACACTCCAAGATGCTGCCAATAGCAGGACATTCTGCAAACCTATGAACTGCAGAATGAGGTTGATAATATTTGCAGAATTTGTAAAATATATTCTGCACAACTTGCAAAAAATAAAACTGATTAATGTCTACAAAACGTGAGACTTATGTATAAACAAAATGGAGTCTTGAACATGAATACAAAATTGATTATTTTGCTTAACCAACTTTTCCACCTCACCACTGGGCCAGAGTTGTTGGGAAGATGCCCTTGTCCTCATTGAGTTGAGGGCATGTAGCCTGGTATCGTCCAGGAGGCGGGGGGGGTGGCTGCACGCTCGTCCCACTCCTTTCCTGCTCTGCCAGGTTGCTGCATGGATCCAGGGTCTGGTAGGGATTGTAGGGGGGACACCACGCATTTTTTTTAGTTTTTTTGGCTTTGGGGTTCCCCCCTAAAATTCATGCCCGACCTCAAGGGTCTGGTATGAATTGGGGGGAACCCGCATGCTGGTTTTTTTATTATTATGTATTGTTTCTGTGGACTGTCAAAAGTTAAAAAGAAAAATGTTACTTTTTTTCTCTAATGTCACTTTGCTGCAACGAAAATTTGTTCGTAAATATCATTAAATTCATCCAAATCCTGAAGCAAATTGACTTTCGAACCCGAATCCCGAAAAATTAAAAAATGTAAAATCAAAAGCGAACGAACCAAATTTTTTGCTGGCTTATGGACAGCTTAAAAATGTAGTCCCACTTTTGCAGCAAAACAGGGATAATACCTATTTAATGTTTGTTACATGTTCTCATTCACATTGCATAACTTAAAATAAAAATACATTTTTAAGTGCTTTTTACTTGCTTGAAAATTGTACCTAGCTGACCCCACCCCCATCTGTATGTAATGTTAGGGAAGAAGCTGTGGCATGTTATGGTCACTAATTAACACTGTACTGTGGCGGCAGATTTCATCATCACTTGTAAACTAGATTTGAACACAGTCTATCCTAACAAAGAGTTAAAGGCTTGAAGGCATGGTATGTTACTGAGAAGATGTTAAGTCTTACCCTCAGTTTGATGACCAGCTATTGTTACTTTTAAACTCCTCAGAGTAGCTTGGACTTTGCACAAAGGCCTTTACCAAAGAGACAGCTAAAAGGTAACACATTTTCAAAAATTAATTTTGGGTATACTGTGTGAATGGGAACACATGACAACAATACAGTGGGGTTTTCTGAAACTTGACTGCAAAAGTAGAATTGCACATTTTAAGCATTTCCATCAATGTGATTTATAATATGTGCAACAATGGGGTAGGAGCTAAGGACCACTTATTATATGATAACACAATACTGAATAGCCTTATTATCTCAGTTTCAGAATGCAACTTTTCCAGAAGCAGGTTAAACGCATGTCCCTAGCCCTATGTAAATACAGCAACATTTTCCAAGTGGATGTGTAGCGATGTAAAATATATGTATCCTGACAGTAAAAGAGATAAACGGTTTGCAGATGAAGCAAGCAACTAAATATCTTCCTGTATGTGCTAAGTGCTACTAAAACTCAGCAGAAAAAAAATGTTGCCATAAAAATGAAACACGTTTCTGTTTTATTTGATCTCTTTATCGGGGTTCTACGAGAATGGTGATGCATTGCTGCATGCTGGGAAACTGGCTGCCACCACAGGGAATGAACACAAACCAGCTACAGAATGAAGAATGTCCTTTCATTCTGGTGATATGTCAGGAGTGCCAGAAAAGCATTGATTATGTGCCATTATTATAGATGCTTATTACACATTCATCTAGAAAAGAGTACAGTAATATCTGTTAAATAATGTAATAATTGAACAGGGCATTAAATAACCCTAACTGTCCTCATAAGGAAGATTGCTGCTAAATTTCACTATCAACGTTCCCTGTAAAGATACAAAATTCACTCACAGCCCTTATCTCAGCACACTTCAGGGACTTGTAGGCTCAAGTACTGCCATATTGTTGCTAATATAATGTGATAGCTAAAAATGAAAAGTTATCATGAGATACTTCATGAGATAGTGTGCTAATTACAAGTTCCTACAGTTAGAAAATGTATGCAGAGGTTAAAAAATATTTTATGATGACATATGGTTAGAACTATAGGCTTGCATTGGAGATCTGGGTCCTGTCACGACTAAGGACATAAGTGTGGGCATGTTCTTCTTGTGTTGGTACGCGCTTCCTAGACTGCTTGTGGTTCCTGGCACAAGGGGTCATTCAAACCTGGCTGTTCTGATGCATTGCATTATGTTGTGAGTTAACATACATTGCATTAAGGCAGTTAATTCATTTTGGACGGACTGCCAATCAACCACAGGGGACAAAAAAAAAAAAATGTTCCCCTTTTTTCCCTCCCTATCCTGTCTACAGGACTGTCTGCACTAGCCTCTGCAATTGTTTTGCAAATGCATGTGGGGCATCTCTGATTGTTTAATCACTGCTGTATGTTGATTGATTGTTTTTTACTGTATATATCTGTTTGTTACACTTTGGCATTTGCTTATCACCTTGATAAAGGGGTCCATGCACAGTCCTGAAACACCCTTTGTGCTATGCCTTACAAGTACATTCCTCTGGTTATGCAGTGCTTCCACTGTCGTGCACTAAACATTAATCCACAAGCCTCGGGTTTTGCGTGCGATATGAAATTTTTGGCTTACTGTACCTTTTTTCCACCACAGCACCCTACAACGTGCATTACAGTGCATTGCAGTATGCTGCAGTGTTATTAATTCAAAATGAATAACACTGCAACACACCAATGCACGGTAGAGTGGGTGAATTCAGGTTTATACAGACTGGTGGATTAAATGGTTTCTGCCCCAAACTAGCCGTATTGTGTATTTGTATGACTGCTATGGAGACATTAGATTAGCTCATCTGTGGTGTTATGTGACTTTTCCAATGAATTTTGAAAAGATATCCAACATAGAAAACAAATAAATGATTACCAGTAACTGCCATTTTGCTTCTAAAATAGTATAGAGGTAGTACATTGTTCCTAAATACTAGCAGTTTGTTTTTTAATCAGAAGCATCAGTGGTAATTTTTTCATCACATAAATATTATGAACTAAAGGACTGTACCTTAGTAGATT